GACTCATTAGAACAAAGGGTCCCAAAGATGGAAAACACAGAGAAGTGAGACGGGTAATATTCACCAGCCACCAATTGTGATGATACAAAAGAGCAATGCAGCCTTGTAAGACAGAGGAGACAGTATAAAATGCCAGAAAGGTAGACACCAGGACAAGAATGTTCTGGGTGGCTCTGGATTCTGGAGAGTTTCTTCTAGAAACATGACTGCTGTGGATGTGTTGAACCCTCTGCTTGTGTCTATACAGAATCACAATCATGGAGCCACTGGACCAGGCAATGAGCACAGAAAAGAAGATTTCAGGGCACACCACCAACATACCATAGAGTAAGTCAGTAATTTCACTTTGCCCTCCAGTGGAACAGTACTCAAAATTTCGGGTTCTTGTCATATTTTTGTTATTTCTCTTGACAAGTATGTACACCAAGAAAATGAAATGTATAATCATGGACAAGACCCAGAGTAAGAAAATGGAGCAGCCAATGTACTTTGCAGCCTTTGTTTTTTGATCCTTACAACAGGATTCCCTGTGACTGATGGTGATGGCCTGGAAGACACTCAAGAAACAGGTGGTGCTAATGGACATACTCCTGCCAACTCTTTGAATGTACAGAATAATTTCGCATCCAAAATCATTTAAAAACTTCTTCAATCCAAAAGCTACCAGTGTGTTTGGCACTCCTGTAGAAATAACTATCAAGACATTGGATGCCATTATGTGCATGAGAATCATATCTGTGGGCTTTAATATGTGTTCTATATTGTAGACCAGATAGAAGATAAGAAACAAGGCATTTCCCAGGACTCCAGTTGTAATTTGTAACAAAAAAATGATTTTGATTGTCATATTCCAGAATTCCATTCTGTGACTGGGCATGATTCTCCTTAGATTATAGCCACATCCATTTTTCTGATCAAAAGGAATGAAAAGTATTAATAAATAGTATTTATTAATTATTAAATAGTAATACGTATTAATCTAAATCAACACTGAGAGGAAAATCAGAGAGGTCCTTAAAGCTCTGGAATACAATGTCATCATAAACTTTACTGTATGTACTCTATATACTGTGGCAATACTTTCTTGAAATTCTGACAATAGCAATTATACCTTACAGTACATACTTACACACACTACAATATTGTCATATTTTTGAAGATTTCAGGACATACCTGGTAATTGCAAAGATGCCTTCATCATCATTGAATATGCAGACTTATGGGCAGGATTACTTGTCCTCTGAGAAGCAATGAAAATCGAGGAACAAAACTAACAAGAATAATCCAGGACTGTAAGATTATACTCTTATTTTCTAGTCACGTTACAGAGGAAGACGATTTTAATGACTACTATCAACCTCAAATATGTCAATTCTTAAAGTACATTTCATCTAATATTAAGTGGTGAATAATATAAAATTAATACCATTCAGAACTTTATATATATATGAAATTTGTTTAAGTGCATAAAACTCATTTAAATTATGTTTCAAGTGACAGAATACATATTATGATGAGTTAGTTCTTATGCAATGTCACAGTACCTAGATAAACAAGCATCTATGCACACACCGGTATGTACTGTTAGATATCTGGGGAAATCTTGTGTGATGCAGTCTCCCAGCAGCTGATCCATGAGCTGTCCCTGAAACTATTTTCTGTGTTTTGTTTCCATTCCAGTCATTGGCAGCCTTATTTGGCCTCAGTGGAAGATAATATGTCTATTTCTGGAGCGTCTCATTGTGCCAGAGTTGGAGGGATTCCCAGGGTTGTTCACTCTCCCAGAGGTAAAGGAGAAGGAAGGATGGGAAGTGAATACAATGTAAAGTGAATTAATTAATTAACTAATTAATTAATTAGTGGGAAAATGCTGATTCAAGATGCCCCAGTTGGGGAAATGTTGCTCTACACACTCATGAGCTGACAGTCAATAACAGGGACAGGATGGCCAGTGAAGTCTGGAATCTATAGAAGATAAAGAAAGTAGAAAAATGAGTTGTTAAGAACTACCAATACTAACAGTCTTCCCTTCCCCATGTGCTGGGCCTGCAGAACACCCTGAGGAATGGCTATGTCAGTAAAAACAAAAGTCTTAAGTATACTAAGACAGTTTAAGTAAAATCAATAGTGTAGATTCTGTCTCAATAGTTTCTCAGCTTATAATTTTTTAAATGTGGGATTATATGGAAGTGATTATATGTTGAATCCACAAAACAAAAATGGGGTCTATAAATGTTCATCAATTGCCTCTATGAGAGAGTCTTGTAAATGTACGGGAACATGTAAGATAAGGGAGTAGAAGGAAACATGTATGTGGAACACAAATGTTGGAGATTGATTCCAATGCTTTGATTCAATCAGGAATCTACATGTCCAAGTGCTAAAGGTCCTTGTTCCAGTTCATTTTGGTCTATCAATAAAGATGACAAAGGCCAGAATCTGGGCAAAGGGAGGTCATGCAGAACTCTTAGAATTGCATAGTCTAGGAAACAGGGGGAGGAAAAGGAACTATCCCAATGAAGCAGTAGGATAGGGATGAACATAAGAGCTGCAGGAAATAAAGCTAATGACCCATGTAAGAATACAGGTAAGTAGCCACTGGATACTTCTGCGACTGGGCGTGTGATTGCTGAGGAAGGTTTTCGAGTCCCCAGTCTTTGAGGTAGCCAAAGTATTTCAAAATTAACTGGTCTCTCCCTCTCTCTCTCTCTCTCTCTCTCTCTCTCTCTCTCTCTC